ATATGTAATATAATATTAATAATTTTAATATTTAAATTATAATTAATAAATATATAATATAATATTAATTTTAATATTTGTAATATAATTAATAAATATTAATATAATATTTATATATTAATATTAATATTTCTATTTAACTTACAATTATAAATAGCAATATTAATCCTACTCACCTTTAATTAACTATAATTTATTTTTCTGAACAGAAATTGTAATTTAAAATTTTTTTTTCTTTTTTTTTTTTTTTCTTATTCCTAATTTACTCTTGAAAATATTTTCTTTCTCTTTCATCGTTATACTAATAAATCAAACGAGAAATATTCTATTCCATTGTTCGATATCATAAAACACAACATTTATATGTATATATTGAAAGAAAATATTTACGTTAGGTTTATCTTTTGGAAAATGCATAGAGAAAACTTTTTTATTCTCCTATGATATTATAGATCTTATTCGTCACGTTTTTCGTAATAATATTGAACACTAGAAAGAAGAAAAAGAAGAAAAAGAAGAAGAAGAAGAAGAAACTCGTTGAATGTTATCGCGTAAAAAGCAAATATATTCCTTGCGTGTAACATTTTTCACATGTCACTAGGATGTCCTAACGTTGCCATAGTGAAATATTATCACCTACCGTTTCTTATCGCCTAGGAGCATAGAATATTTTGCAAAAATAACTATGACGATGCTCTCTTATAGTCGTACATCTTTTATTAGAGAAAAAGAGAGAGAAAGAGAGAGAGAAACGAGAAGGATTTTACTTGAAAAAGCTTTGCAACATATTAAAGCTTTTTAACTTATCTAGATTTCAATCTTTTATATACATATATATGGTACAATACATGGTAAATCTAAAAAATAATTAAATAATTTAAATTTTTTCATAATTTTTAAAGTATTGTTTAATAAATTTGTTTCAAATTTTAATTCAACCTATTATCGCGTTTTTAATTTTATTTTTTTATTTTTAAATTTGTACAATTTATGAGTCAATGAACTTTGGTTGCACTCTATTTACAAATTTCAATCTTTTATATATATACGTAATATTTAATAAATATTGTTATCTATAAGTATACGTATAATACACCGTAAACTTAAACAAAAAAAAATATTTATTATATTAAATAATTTTTATAATATCTAATAATAAATTTGTTTCACAATTTTGCTCAACCTATCATCTTATTTTATTTTATTTTATTTTATTTTATTTTATTTTATTTTTTAAATTTGTACCATTTACTAGCCAATAAACTTTTCATGCATTCTGTATACGAATATTTGTAAATTTATTTGATTTTACTTCAATCTCGTTTTTTAGTTTATTAGTTTCTTTTTCTGTCATATATTTGTGTCAATTTTTCGAAATAATCTCATAAAAGATATATATATATGAAAGTAACGTAAAGAGGACACATGAATTTGGGACGAAAAGAAAAGAAAGAAAAGATAAAAAAGAAAATTATTTTTACGTGTTATGATAAATCGTGTCGCGTCAATACTAAAACCCAAAGTATGGTGGTACGTTTAATAAAATGCAATTTGTGCACTGAAACTAAAAAAAAAAAAAAAAAAAATACAGTTCGTACCGTTGCCAACGTTATCGAGATTACGTTCGTTATACGAATACATTTTTAATTATATTTTTTAAATCTCAAAATACTAGGATATCGTAGTAAATATATATATATCTCATGGAATTAAAAWAAMAAAMWAAAAAAAAATAAAAAAATAACACGTATCGATATTTATAATATTTATCAATTTTTTTATCATCGTAAATTCGAATTTAAAAAAACAAAAACAAACAAAAAATAGTACAGTTAGAAAAAAAATAAAATAAATAAAATTAAAAAAAATATATATAATAATAAAAAATAATAAATAAAAATATAAATTACGTGTCACGTTGTTTGTCCGCAATGGACTCCTAAACTATTAAACAGATTTTAATCAAATTTTCCACACTGTGTAAAGTTTCATCCAACTTAAAAGATAGGATAGTTTATATCTCAAAAATAAATAAAAATATATCTATATATATTAGATTAATTCACCTAGATTTTAAAGTAATCAGAATGAAATGAGTTGGATTAAAAATAAATAAGAATAAGAATCCCAAAAGAAGAAGAAGAAGAAGAAGAGGAAGAAGACGAAAAAAAGAAAGAAAGAAAAGAAAGAAAAAAAGTTATTGCATTTGCAAAAGAGGATCTCAAGGAATGACCCCATAAAAAGGTACTTTAAAGAAAATAAACCCCTCGGTTTCTCTCAATCTCTCTATTTCACTCTCCCACCTATTCCCCTTGTCTCTTTCTCTCTCTCTTTCTCTCTCTCTCTCTCTCTCTCTTTCTCTCTGTCCATTTTTCGCTTCATTTCATTCGAGAAGGAAAAAAAGAAGACACGAGAGTTTAAGATAAAAATAGACTTTTTCAAAATAACAATAATAATAATAATAATAATAAAAAAAGGTAATCGTCGAAGTAGATGTGATATGTCACTCACTCGGCGTTGGTTTCCGGTGTTGGTAGATCACCAATCGTCGTCAGTGTTAGGGTAGACCAGTAGAGTGATCCAAGGTATTTCCTGGTCAAGGTCGCATATTCACCAGGCCTGTACGGATAGACCCAATCACCTTGGAATCCTTCGGCTTCGCTTAATAAATAATAGAAACAGCCGAACCAATGTGCGAGTATTAATAATATATGTATTAGATTGAGTACACGCCATAAATTAGGATAAACCGTACGTGACTCTACCATGTAATAATAATTATAAACACGATATATCTTGAGAAACCTTGGAAACCTTAGCATAGGATTACTGCCAAGATTGAATTGTAATAAATCGAGTGGTAACAGTGCTAACAAATCTAATACGAAACATTTCGATTTTAAATAATGTCCAGCTAACTTTTTACTATTGTAAACCATAAGTCCTTGTTCCAAATAACCCGTACGAAATTGTACAGCCACGTCTAAGAAAAATACCAAATCCGTAAAACCGTCGCAAGCTAACCAAGCGGCTGGTGCCAATGCTTGTAATTCTGGTAAACTTTGTCTGACTATTAATGTCCATAAATTGTATAACACGCAGGACGATAATAACATCAGCCAATAATAATAAAAATTTTCGTCAGGATTGACAACTGTTTTAGGTGCTTTTTGTGTCCTTCTTGGTCGTCTTCTTCGTCGTCCTGTTAAATCCTTTTCGTCGTTTGCGTCACCTTCACCTTCACCAGTGTCTACGGTCTCTTGACTCTCGGGTATTTGACGTGTTGAAAATCTTTTTAAAAATGAATCTTCACGTTTCAATGGTGGCTTCTTTTGTATCGTAGATATGGCCGATGATAATTGTACGGTTGTACGTAATTTCATCCAACGTTGATTGCTTTTAGTTCTGCGAACAGAAAATAATAAATAACCGATCGCCGATGATTACAATTTTTAGTTTAACGATAAATCTTTTCTAATATTCCTAACATTTATTTAAAAAAATATATATATATAAAGAACTCAACATCATTTGTTTAACAAAAAGTAATTTTACAGATACATTTGTTACTTTGTTGTTAATTTTTATTCTCTGTGATAGTGTTCTTTAAAATTGTGTTTTATATTGGGCCGATATTATAATTTTGTTTAATAAATTCGTCTATACACTGACACCACATAAACGCGCGAGGATTTAAACGTTTTTAAATCTTTGATCAATTTTGAAACAAAACAAAAAAAAAGAAAAAGAAGAGAGAATTCGTTTGCAAAAAATATTTGATAGATCGTAAAAGAAAGACACGTACAAACACGTATCGTAAAAATGCGAAAGTTAAGTTCACGAGTGAGTGTTCTTCTCGGACCCAAAGCAATTTCATGTTCCTATTGTCTTGGAAAAGTGTCGTAAAAGTAACAACAAACTAAGACATATATATATATTCTCGTTTATTTCTTTAAAATGACATATATATAGTATCGTTGATATCATAAAATAAAATACTTAACAACACGTTAAATCACTAATCATAAATTTATTATATTAAATATCAAACGTGTAAATTAACAATTTTTTTATTCATAAAAATGTGATCGTATTAAACGAATCGTTTAAAATATACTTTAAATAAATTATTATAATATATTTTTTTTTAGAATTTTATTCTAAAAATCAAGCCAAGATTTGCATAAATTACGCGTAATCCTATTTCCTTTTATTTTTTGTTTTTTATTTTGACTCCTTTATTTTTTTATTTTTGACTCTGACGGAAAACTCAACAACAGCAACAAAAAAAAAAAAAAGATAATAAAATTACTCAAACCTTTTTTTATAAATAAATTTTATCAAGCATCATATCTCTCGGCCCACTGACTATTTATAATAATAATAAAAAAAAAAAGTTATTAGATCATAAAAAATAAAAATGCATGCATTTGTTGAGTATAAAAATAAAAAATGCGACAGAACGTAGACGTTCCAACAAAAAAAAAATAATAAAAATCAAATAAAACAAATGCATCATCATCATAATCCTTGTGCCTAAATTTCTGTATCCTTTTTTTTTTTTTTTATAATTATATTAGATGGTTCAGAAAGTCGTTTCACTTTTCTTTTGTAAAAATGATGACAATTTTTGCTTCGAGGTTAAACCTAAACCTTTTAAGTGGTCATAAATAGTTGAATTTGATAAATTTAACCTATCATCAATCTCATGTGTTACTATTTGTCGGTTTGCATCAACTAATGCCATTTATTGCATCAGTAAAAAACAAAACAACTTGCCGAACCACCTAATACATCAAATATTAATAATTATCATTAACTCGTGTTAATCTTAAAAATATATAATAACTAAACAACAAAAAAAAACAAAAACAGAAAAAAAAATTATAGAAAATACATTCGTCACATACACGCACACGCAACCCTAATAGACACACACACGATTAAATATAATCATTGAAATATTGTTGCATACAACAAAAGACAAATTTTACCTACGGTCTATCACCGTTCATAATGATCAATACCTAAAATATAAATATAATAATAATAATAATAATAATAACGTACGTTCATAAACTCATATATTGGAAAATAAACATAGCATTTGCTTTTTTCAGACAAAATTCAGACAAAATTCGGCGAATAATTCTAATTTCTAATATAACGATGCAGATAGGTCAAGTCATAGAGTATAATAATAATTTGGTTTTTTTTTCTATTTTTTTTTTTTTTTTATTATTATTTTTTTTTAAATGGATAGATATAAAGTAAGAAGAGAGTGAGCGAGAATCAAGTAGATCATTTAGCCAGAGCATCAGATGAATAGGCAGACAGACAGACAGACAGACAGACAGACAGACTGGCAGAGAACGAATGGACAGTCGTACAGACAAACTGACAGACAGACAGACAGACAGACAGACAGATAGGCAACACAAACATATATGGAAACATCGAGAATTCAATTCAATTAGACAGAGATAGAGAATAGAACTAAAGATTGGTTTTTTTTTTAATGTTTTTTTTTTTTTTTTTTTTTCTTTCAATGCATTAACACACATACGCATGTAAAGTGTTTTTTTATTTTCTATGTGTTTTGTTGGATGCTTTGTTAAAATGTTGTTCTTGTTGGNCAGATAGGCAACACAAACATATATGGAAACATCGAGAATTCAATTCAATTAGACAGAGATAGAGAATAGAACTAAAGATTGGTTTTTTTTTTAATTGATGCTACTACTTTCTTTTTGTGCATTCTTCTTTCAATGCATTAACACACATACGCATGTAAAGTGTTTTTTTATTTTCTATGTGTTTTGTTGGATGCTTTGTTAAAATGTTGTTCTTGTTGGTAACTTTGTTTGTTGGTTGTTGGTTGTTGTTGTTATTGTTGTTGTTATTGTTGGAATAAATTAATTGTAAACTATGAATATTGTAGAAAAATATGTTTATTTTTATTTATATATTTTCGTATTGAACAGGAAAATAAGAAAATTGAAATATAAAATTTTAATTAATGCAATGAGAATAGAAATTGTTTTGTTCTTTTATGTATAAAAAAAAAAAGGATATTTTTGTTATTAGAAAAATTGAAGTAAAAATTAATCGTTCGATTAAAATAAAATTTGAAATAATGCAATGCGTAAAAAGTGTTTTTTTTTTTCTTTATAAAAACAAAAAATATCATTAAAAAATTAAATAATTCTTATTAAAAAGAATATAATTAATAAATTAAATAATTCTTCTCAAAAAAAAAAGTCTAAATTTTTTTAATAGAAAAATTAAAGTAAAAATTAATGAAAATAATTAATTACAAATCATTTCATATATAAAATGAATCATACACGTTATGAACTAACACGATCACAAATACATATAAATATACAATAATATTTGTTTAAATTAAAAAGCATTATATTAAAATAATAAAATATTAATCGTGTTATTAGTGTACCACGTGTATACTAGTGTATGTACGTTTTACAGGGTTGTAGCTTCGATATTTATTTGTTTATACTTACTTTGATAATTTTAATAATATATTTTGAAATTCTCTTGCAATTAACTATTTTAATCATAGCCTTTAATACATCATCGACTGTCGAGAAAATATCAAATTATATATATATCTGTTAATGAAATTGTTAATATTTAATTGATAATTAAAATGATCAATATAAGACAAATGTCACAATTAAATAAATTATATTCAACAATTGTAAAAAGAATATTTCATGTATTTTTTTCACGACAGTCGATGCAATTTGTTAATCTAATAATTTGGATGCATCAAAACACATTTAAGCATTGTTAAATGCAAACTAGCAACAATCTCGTGAGTTTTTCGTTTATAATAAAAAATAATAATAATAATAATAATAATAATAATATATTTTTGAATTTCAAACAAGTGTCCTAATTAATTAAATAATATAATTATATTCATCTCGAGATAGAAATGAAACATTTATTTTTACGTATAAATTAAAAACAAAAAATTACTATTGAATACAAAATAAATAATAATAATAATAATAATAAATTCAATGTAATGAATAACTCACGATGCACTTTTATGATTGAAAAAATAGAGAGAAAGAAATTTATGAAACATTCGGGAAAGTAGAATAAGTAGGATAGAATAATGGGGATGAAATCATGCTACAATATTTCCTATAAGATGATCAAAAATTGTTTTATGCGAATCATTCTAACGAATGTTTATACGAACATATGCAATTACAGCAAAAAAAAATACTATTTTTTCATTTCATCCAATTTGTTTTTCCACACTTAATTATAATATTAAATTATACATAAACATAATATTTTTATTCTTAATTTAAATTATTCTTCAAAACAACATTGAACTTTCTTATCTCATGGTTCAATTCGAATTTACTCATAAGAAAAGAATATCATGGGAAAGCTACAATCCTGTACGATTGTGTAATAAGTTTATAATCAATATTTTTAATAAGAAAAAAAAAAACGAAACAATTTTCAACAGAAAATAATTGAAAGATTGTTGAACGAATGAATCAAAGTGTCATAATAAATATACATATATATGTATTAGGTAGTCCCAAAAATTTTTTCCTTTTTTTTTGGTGATATGTTAAATAATATTGCATGCGTAATATATTTTTGTTTTATATTTTACATTATTTTATTAAATAATATCGATTCTACTCTACTTTACTTTAATTATTTTATATTTTATATAATTTATTTTTATTAATTTATTTTATATTTTATATTTATATAATTTACCTATTTATATATATACTTATATTTTTGGTATTTTATTTAATTTAATTTAATTTAATTTTATTTTATTTTATTTTATTTTATTTTATTTTATTTTATTTTATTTATATATATATTTATAATACTTTAAATTAATCAACCTAAAATATATTGTGTCCGTAGAATTACTAAAAATTTGGGACGACGTTTTGGGACAACCTAATATATATATATATATGTATTAGGTTTATCGGAAAATTGTGTCCATTTGAAAAATAAAATAATAAATTATTCATAATTATAACAATTAATTAATTGAATTACTTTAAACCTCTTGCTCAACATAGTGGCAATTTGTATATTCCATTTTAAGAAATGGGACCTTACCCCTAGTAACAAAAAATTGAACTAACGCTTGTTTGAACGTACAAAATTTTCCTGTAAACCTAATATACATCTAATAAGACGATACAGAGTGTTTAGATAGTAGTAGTAGTAGTAATAGTAATAGTAGTAGTAGCAGTATAGTTGTAGTAGAAGTAGTAGTAGAGGTTACCGTCCAATCTATCAATGACGGGAAATACCTCTTAATTTTTCGAAGGGAAGAATATAGCGCCATGACGGCTCGTACGTTACTCCACTTTTGGGAACCCCTCGTACTACGGGGTCTTCTTGCATCAGCTGGTATTTCCGTATCGAGTCCAGTGCTGTCCAAAGATTCCGATGTAGTTGAAGTACCACCATGTAGGCTCGTTATCTCTTTCTCGAAAGATCCAACAGGTTCATTGGCTGATGAATCACGTTCGTAGAATCCCAATGATCTGCGAAAGAAGACAAAACCCGGACGGGTTGCCCCTCTCTCTCTCTCTCACTCTCACTCTCACACACGCACAGACACATTTATTTACAAATATTCATACAACACAATTGTGTTTTTTTTTCTCTCTTTTTGTCTCTTCTCACTCTCTTTTTTTTTTTTTTTTTATCAAAAATTTCGGACACATATTTAAGAAATGTCAATGTTGCGTCGTCCGTTTGTATGCCTCTTTGATTTTTTGTATTTTTATTTAAAAAAATAAAAAAAATAAACAAAAATAGCAACGTTTTAACCTTTTCGCTACGAACAGCGACTTTTGGCGCTCGGTTATAGACGTTTTTTCTCAGCGAACAGCGCCTTTTGGCGCTCGAATATGAACACTTCCCCTTAGCGAACAGTGCCTTGTGGCACCGTGAATCTGATTTACGAATGTTACGTGTACCGTGTCGTCTGTACTAACAAAATACTATCGTACCGGCTGCTGAAAGAGCAACATTTCATTTTTAGGTGCTCCGCAGCGAAAGGGTTAATTAATTCGCTTTTAATATTTTCATTTGAATTATTCTAACTCGCTCGCTCTCACTGTTACTTTCTACTTTTTTTTTTTTTTTTAAATCCCTTCACGAATTTATTCCTACCTATTTTTACTTTGTATTTTTCTTTTTTGTGTCATCCAACGTTGCATTTGATTTTTTAGAATTTTTTTTTTTTTTTACATATATTACCGTTAAAATGTAAAATCTATTAGTTCTTGTAATTAGGTGAATTTACAAAATACACGAATTTATTATTAAATACGAAATTGAAATTTGGATTCGTAATTTAGTTACAATAAAATGATACGACTAACAAAATATTAATTTTCAAAAATTATAATAATAAATAATAACTATATATATATAAAACTATCCGGTACTTATGTATTAAAGCCACCGCAGCAAAAATTCTGGTAATGATCTAATACAAAACACATACTTTAAAATATTATTATTATTATTATTATTAATATTAATTGACATTAACAACTCAAACATTCAATGTCACAAATATTTTAAAATACGAGGATCAAAATTTCAATCTCGTACTTCAAATAAACTCGTCTCTTTCTAATTAATATTTTACATTTAATAATTTTATTATTTTTTTTAAAACAACCCGTTATTTAAAGTTTCCAATATAATTATTTTTTATATGTTAATTATTTCATGTTACTATTTAAATTTGTTCTGAATGAAATGGTATTGTTAAACTTACTTTTTAACGATAACATATACATATGCATGTGTATTATTATTATTTGTTATTGTTAAAAGGAAAGAAAAGTGTATAATACTCGGTATCCTGTATATCCAATAACAGAAGGGGGTGAATTCAACGAGAAGCCCCTATAATCCGGTAAAACAATTGACCATAACCTTTTGCTAAAAGCATAGAAAAGCTTTATTTCTTTTCTTCTATATAAAGATATTACACAGAAGAAATCCTTATTTGATATCTTTTGATACTTTTCAGATACTTTTTCAAGATAACTATCATAATCGATCGTACTTTTCAACTTTCTGTTCCTTTTTTTATCTATCGAAATATCATCTTTCATGTTCAATCAAAAGTAACTTCCAAAGTTTATGATAATCTGATTGCAAATTACAAGTCAAAGTAATTTTTAATGGCACAAATAAAAAAATAGAAGAAAGTTTTGAAAAAATATGCTTCACACACTTTTGTTTTTTTTAAATAAAATAATAGATAGTAAAAAAAAAAATGTAATTTTTTTTTAGGGGAAGGTGAACAAAATTAAAATATATTTTAAATTAAATATTAAATGAAAAATTACATTAAAAATATAATTTACACACACTTTTTTTTAAATAAAATAATGGATAATAAAAATTGAAAAAAATGTAATTTTTTTAGGGGAAGATAGAAAAAATTAAAATATAATTAATTGTCAGTTTTATAGTTGAAACATTTGATGATATTTTTTTCTTTTATTATTTTGTGACAACCTAATCACAATTTTGATAAATGTTATTTATTTTTTTTTATTTTTTAATTTATATTGATACTCATTGCATCTTTGAATCTCACCTTGTCCTTGACTCATGTTGTCCTTTTTATTCGAGCATAGCATTTTTACATTATTGCTTCTTAATCGTACCAATTAGCTTTTACTTTTCTTATCCTACTTTAGTTGAAAACACGCGATAAAGTCATTCACTAACATCTTAGCTTTATCTATCTAAAGATTTCCTCTTTTTTCCCCAAGGACGAATTTAAAGTTCTTTATTTTTTCTTTTTTTAAAGGAATCCTCTTAGTTAGAAAGCACCATGTTCATTCGTTCATATAAACACGACAAATATCATTGCTACAACTATATTTTTACATGTGAGTAATAATTATTTGGAATTAAATTGTTAACATGGTACTATTAATTATTATTGTTTTATTATAAAATATGTATCATTAATTATAATATTTTATTAATTTTTATTGATTTTATTATAAATTATTTTGTCTAATAATGATCATTAATCATTTCACATGTTTTATTCATCGAATTTCTTTTTTATTAATTTTGTCTTCAATTATTATTAGGTCAAGTCATAAGTAACTTCCGATGCGGTTATGCAGAATCTATTTTTCGTATTTACCTATTATAAGTCACCGAAACAAACAGATTTTCGATATCACTATATAGATGAGGATTCAGTTTAGTCTTCTGTCAACTTTTTCATGTAAAAACTTCTTTAGAATGGGTGTGATTTGAAAAAATGTAACGGAGCGGTAGGCGGCTATGTAACGGAGCGGTGAGAGGGAATGAAACGGCCGCGATACTAAATAAGAAGAGAATACAATTATCCTACAGCAGATATTTTGTATTCGTCTCATTCTCTCGAAATTTAGTTTTTTGAAGGTTTCACTTGTAACACGTGTGATCTGCACACATTTTTCTTTATACAGTCAATGTTACATTTAACCGTTTTTTCTTAAACCACTGAAATGAATAGTAAAAAGTGCATATTCGACATGTAATGCTTTAAGAATTGAAACAAGGCAATTAGCACTAAAGTGGCAACTGAAAAAATATGCAGCGTATACAGTGCAGGACTGATAACTGATAGGGCAGTCAGAAATTGGTTTGTAAAATTGCGTTCTGGAGATACGATCTTAAAAGATGAACCRAGTRYAGGGACRTATTTCCGACTTTGATGAACCTTTTAAAGGTAATATTGGAACAAAATCCAATAGATACGTTGAACAATTGCAAAGAGTGCAAAAAAGAAACTCCATGAAAGGTGTCTTGCACTTATCAGTCACAGAAACGTCATTGTTTGTCTCATAAAAAACGAAAGTTATTTACGACTCGACCTAATACTATTATTTATTTATTTTTTCTTGAATTATTATTAATATTATTTTTATGTTTACTTGAATAATTGTTCAAATATTGTATTATTTCATCCTTATATACGATAATTCGCACGAAGTTTAAATTTTCAACACATTGAATACATTTTATTTCTTTTTTCCTTTTTTTTTCTTTCTTTCAATCAAATATTATCCAAAGATAAATGAAAAGGATTAAGGTCGATTTTAAAATGGATATAAAAAAAAACAAAAAAAAACTAACAGAAGTTAAAGAAGAATCAAGGTATAAATGAATTCGATTCGATACCTCTGATCACGTCACGAATCGACAAAAAAATAATCCAAGTGCTAAACTTTAAAAAATAAAATAAATATTGAATGAATTATTTTATATCTTTGGACAATTAATAAAATACCATCGATCAAAATTCATCATTTCGATGCTCGTATTTTGTAAATATCATTTGTTTATTATCGTTCAATCTAACTATATTGTTTACTCAATTAAATGCCATAGATATGTAATAAAAATAATTGTAAAAAATACAATAAAATCAAATTTAAACAATAATACAATAGAATAAAATAAAATCAATATTAACCCTTTACACTCCGATGTCTCAACGTATGAAACATTAAAGTTTATTAGTGATTACGGAGAATTAAGTTATTTCAGCACAACTTTTTGAAACATGCATATTTTTCCCTGATGTTTTCTCTTAAAATAGCACAAGATATCGAATCAAAATATTGTAAAATAACAAAGATATATAAAAAAATTGTCAGCGGGTTTTGTGTTTTAAGAGAATGCGAAACGCATGCTCACGACGGTCCGCGAATGTTTTTGGCGAAACTTGAGAAGAACGATAAGAAGAATTTGTAAAAGAAATGTTTTTATAAAAGCATATCTCGCATTTTATAATGAAATTTATAATTTACAAAGAAATATTATCAAATAGTATCACATTTTCAAATACCAATGGAACGCGCTCGGCTTTTTTTCAATTGCAACGCTATTACACATATACATTCTTCTTGGTAAATAAGTTCTTTTGGTAAAAGTTCTTCATGTAAATATGTTCCTTAATGTCTATAGATTAATATAAGTCTAATATCATTAGAATCCGTTATTTGGTTCTAAAGTTATACTAAATAATACGAGGGTCTGTAAATGTGTCATTTATGTGGCGCGAAGTAGCTGCTATTTAACGTCGAGAATCGTACGGAATGCAAAGGATTAAAATATAAAATAATAAAATAATATAAAATATAAAATATAAAAATAATTATATATTTCATATATATTAATATTAATATAAATAATATAATAAATATTAATATAAAATAGAAATTTTAAATTGATACAAATCAAATTTAGATATTAGTACAACATTTTCAAAGTTTATATATCTCAATATTATTTCGATGCAACTTATCGTAAAATTATTGAATAAAATGTATACCCCACAAAATTAATAAATTATTTTCTATAAAAAAAAAAAAGAACAAAAAAAAACATAAAATAAAAAAAAAACGTTCAAGATCGTTCTAATAGAAGTTATAACGCTCAAAGAGAAGGTCGTGTATCTAATCTTGTTTTACGCTTCAAATCGATAAGGATCACGGTTGTTTAACAAAAAAGAAGCTTTTTCCTCTCTCTCTCTCTCTCTCTCTCTCTCTCTCTCTCTCTCTCTGTGTGTGCTTTTATTATTAATTTATCAATATTTCCAACGAAACGGAGGGATGTTTAGTTGAACGATTTTTTTATATATATATATATACTTAACAAACTTGTATAAAGAGATCAAATCAATCGTGACGTTTCTTTTTTCATTCTTTAAATAAAATCAATGACGATAGGTTTTTTTTAAACAATTTAAAAGATTGTTCAAGAATAAATGGCTTTCTATCGTATAAAAAAAAAAAAAGTATTATTAAAGCTTAAAAGAACACACAAGACTTTGCACTTCACTTTGTTTTTCTTCTAATTTGGTCAGTTCCATGTATTACATAACATTACTTCTCTTTTGGTTATATACTTTAGAAAATATATAGTATATATATATATATAAAACTACTAGAGAGAGAAGAAAGTAAATGTTCAAGGATTACATGAGAAAACAGTTCTATTAAGGGACTAGTTTAAAGAAATAAAAAACAACAAGAAAAGTATCTTAATGAGTATCTTCGTTGCACGTACTAAAAAATAACATTACGGCAATAAGTACTCTTTTTCTTTTTTTTTTTTTTTTCATTTTTTTTCCTGTCTTTCTATCTCTCTCTTTTGCACTTCGTTTCATTCATTTGAAAATACGAGAATCGTAGTGGACGATAAATTACTACGTTGCAATTAAAGCGAAAATTCGATTAGATTTTCATCAACGTCATAGTCAATTATAGAAAATAATAAAAGAAGAAAAAAAAAAAAGAAAAATGAACTACAAATATATTTATAAAACAAATATATGTATATATATATTTGTAATTAAAATTAATTAATTTCTTATTTATTATATAATAATTATTATAATAATTATTATAACATGATATAACTTTGGATCAATTAAATTAATACAAATATATTTAAATATTATTTTTATTTAAGAAAAATTATATTATTAATAAATACCAATATAAAAAAAAAATTAAGTTCCAATATTTTTATATTGTTTAATATGAAAATTATTATTTTCTTATTTATAATATAATAATTATTATAATAACTATTATGTGTGGCATGGTATAACTTTGAATCAATTAAACTTAACACGAATATATTTAAATACCTTTGTTATTTAATAAAAATTAATATTAATAGTTACCAATATAAAAAAAATAAGGTTCCAATATTTTTATATTGTTTAATGTAAAAATTATTATTTTCTTATTTATAATATAATAATTATTATAATAACTATTATGTGCGGCATGGTATAACTTTGGATCAATTAAATTAACACAAATATATTGAAATATTATTGTTATCTAACTATCTATTAATCTTAAGATTAATAAATTCAAATACAAACAAAAAGTAACGTTCCAATATTTTCATGTTGTTTAATAAAAAAAATAATTAATTTCTCATTTATAATATAATTATTCAAATAATTATTATGACGTTCTATAACTGTGTATCAAATAAACTACCACAAATATATTTAAATATTATTGTTATCTAACTATCTATTAATCTTAAGATTAATAAATTCAATTACAAACAAAGTTACATTCCAATATTTTTATGTTATCTAATCAAAAAAAAAAAAAAAAAATAGAAATTTATTTTCTTTTACGATTAATTTCATTCGAATCGAATACACTCTATTAAAAATCGCATTATCAATCTGTGCAATCATCCGAATGATAAATATAATCAACTACGTAACAAACTCGTTGTTAATCTTACCATAGATACTGGTGGTTGAGTACTGGAGTTAAGGAAAGGGTCTAAGGGATGAAAAGCTTAAAAGAGTTTTTCGATATTCAAAATCAAACGAACCAAGGAAGAAGAAGAAGAAGATCTTCTCGAGGTTATATATCCAAAAAAAAAAAAAGAAATAAAATAAAAAAGAGATGTTTCCTTCACTATCTTTCTACTACTTTTACGTGTATGTCTCATTTTATCTTTCCTGTTTTTTTTTTTTTTTTTTTTGTTTCCTTCACTATCTTTCTACTACTTTTACGTGTATGTCTCATTTTATCTTTCCTGTTTTTTTTTTTTTTTTCTATAGGAAAGATATCACGTTAAGGGTCTAGAAATAAAGTTTATTCTCCGTTATACTCGGGTTACTTTGGTTTTTTCCCCAACGATTTCAAAGTACCCGCAAATCGAACCGAACCAGGGTTGAAACGTGTATATCCCCTTTACCCCTTTCCTATTGGTTGAAAAACTCGTTATGGCCTTTTGTGAAAAAGGTATCGTAAAATGTAACCCCTCCCTTACCCCCGATCTTCGATAAAAAGGAAATACTTTTGACCTAAAGATCAACCAACGTCATACGTCGTTCGATAAACGGATCTGACTTTCTTCTTCTTTTTTT